GATGTTGAGTGTATGACGTCACAGACTCCAAAAGATAATCGTAAAAATATCATACTTTCGTMCTGAATATCGAGAAAACACTTCATACAGTGATTATTGGACCTTTAAAGAGTATTTTTAGGAAGTTTCAGCTGAATCCAAGTTTGAGCGATTTTCGTCGTAGTAGCACTTTAAGGATAACCTTTCTTCTCTTCACCCACAAATCTTGAACTTTCAGTTTAATGCCACTTCACAGGTTGAAAAAAGGCTTACGAAAAGAATCAGTTTCCCAACAAACTATCATATCTATAACTGCGTATTGTTCGAACCAGCAGTCATCTTATCAATCGAGTTGGTATATRTATTCACCATATTACTTAATTGGTTTACTTTTCATACATAAAGAATTCAACCGATGCTTCAAGGTTCGAGTAATTTGAATCAGTGATCCTCTAAAAAAAACTACCTTGTAGTCGCGTTTTATCATTTGTGTGTGACTAGGAAATCGATGTGAGGAAAGTGTTGAATATTAGAAATTAGTAAAAATGCACAGGTGATTATTGAAAATCTCGCGCGCTGATTGGTCGAGAAACTCACAATATCACACGATGATCACCTCCAGCGATAATCCAAAATGGCGGCAAGCCGCTTTGTTGCTGTTACCGTAAAAAAATGTCTTTTATCTCCTTTTTTTTCTTTTCTTTCTTTTTTCTTTTGTTTTCTTTTGTTTTTTTGTTGTTTTTTTTGAAAGAATCACCTTTGTATTTATACTAAAACAATTATTTGCCTCAGCCTCAGTGAATATCGATAATATTTACCTCGCCGCTTGAAGACTCGCGTCTCGGTAAATATTCCACGACATTCACTTCGCCTTCGGCGAATAATTGCAAAATAGTGAGAAAGAATAATCTTCTATCAATGAGCCTGCTGTCATCAAAAATAGCGGAATGTACGTCAATTAAGAGAGAAGACTATCAATGTTATGCAAACATAACGTACCACCGCTGAGGGTCTTTCGAATTGTCTCTGGTTTGCACCCCCCAAATTGACATAAATGACTTCGTCTTGCTCTGCCTGTGGCTCTCCATGATGTAGCGACTGGTATTGACGTGTCGTATTATCATAATACGTCTGACTACTGGTCATTTCCAATTCTTCGCCTGTTAAAAAAGGAACTAGCATAAACATATTTTTTCTAGCAAATGAATTTCAAGTATTCAGCGCTAGCAAGGTGAACCTGCGCAAGCCGGTTTTCATTTATCCCTATACGTTATCAGTTATAAAGTTCATCTGCTCTACGACTTAAGGAATTGCTTCTTTTGTGTGTGTGTTTATTTCGAATAAAAATATAAAATTAATGACGCCTTCTTCTTAACATATTCCTACAGTGTATATTAGTGACTTTATAGCCTTCATATTGGATGAACACTCCAGTTTCGAGTTCTCTATTGTACAGGGTTATCCTCGATTTCGTATGTTTTGTTTTTGAATATCCATATGTTGCAGCGTAGGTCCGTGGTATTTCAAAGTGTTTGTATTGTTGAACGCGTACACTCTTTACTTTATTGTTTGTGTTTGTGAATATTTGGTCACTGAAATAAGGCTAACCTTGTATATAGATAACTAGTTTGTAATCGGAACAAAGTGGTATTTGACTCATTCGAAGACGGTCCGATTTAACAAAGCTTTTTTTTTTTCTATTCAGCCATGAAACATACATAAATGTATTCATTTTCCGAAAATGCTTGCCAAGATTTTAACGGGAAACTTAAGTAAATAAATAAGTACCTTGATCATTTCCTTTTTTCTTCGATTTTCCTAGACGTTCGTTTTTCTTCCGTAGTCTTCTTCGCACCAAATGACCAAGTATGATAGCAATCAAGACTACAAGTGCAATCGAAAGAGCTATGACAACACCTTTCGAGACTTGAAAAAACTTGTTTCCTGTGGAAAGTTACCAAAATAAAGGACTCATTTGGCATTGTCATGCACGTCGACCTATAACACTGCTACACGGTATGACCAAAAATCAATTTTCCACATAAGTGAGAAGAACTATTCTGGACGCGACAAAATGAGTTGTAACTGGTGTGTTACTATTTTGCAATACAAATAGCCGTCATTTTGTTTGATTTAAACATCTCATAAAAATAATCCAATCATGTTTACAAACTGCATAACAAATTGAATAACAAGCAAAAAATATATAATTCACTGCTTACCTTTTYCCCCGGGTTTTGTTGTAAATGCAACGAAGGACGAATCGCCATAAACTTTCCTCTATATCAAAAATGTTAAGAAAAATGCAATGAGGGATGTTGCAAGGCACTCTCTGATAAAAGCAACAGTCATTTAGATGTGTTTCGGCAGTGCAAATCTAACAGTGGCACAGTGGCGAGAAAGTTTGAATCAGTTACCAGGCTTTGAGTATTTGAAAAGGAATTCCCCTTCTTTTTATTTAATTTGTTGACCACGGTACCAACCACTTGTCGCCGGTGACTAATATGACGTCTGTCACAAAGAGGATTGCCATGCTAAGTTGAGTGGTTCGCCCATACTCCACTCCCCATGTCATATTATACTCGGTAGACCGTTTTCTCAAAGTAGCGTGCGCATCCAAATTGACGGACCACAAAAAAGAAAAACGCAAAAATCTGTAAAATTGAGAAGCCAGACTTATAGTTAAAGAGGAAAATAATCGATTTTATTTAATTTTTCGGAAAAAAAATCATAAAAATGCATGTTAATTCTCGTGTTCTGGTATCATGGCCCGTCAAGTTCCTTAAGTTTGGATGAGCACGCAACCTTGAGAAAACGGTCTGTTCTGACTGGAATATAAATTTACTTGCCCCATTACAATCTTTAGTTACGATTCGCATATGCACTTTATAAGCACACCCTGCTTCCAACGGTACATTATGATAACCACTATAAAGAAGACCATCGCCGACGGTAAAGTTGAGCGAACCATGATAATATTTGACCTCTGCGGTAACGTACATTGACGAACCGTTACTCGTTGCCATGGTTACACCGTGGACATAAGAAGGCAATCGTTTTTTTGTTTGATCAGTAGAAGAGAAGACATCCTTGTTCACTATTTTTTCACAAATGATTTGGTAGGCACTAGAAATCAATAAAGATATTTAATATTGTGATGGTAATGATGAAAAGGTAAATTATACACCGTGAAAAGATGAAAAAACTTACTGACGTTTCGGACGCTAGTCCTTCGTCGGAGTAAAAGAGAAAGAAGTCAAATATAATATTCTTAATATTGTGATGTAAAGGTTGCTTTTGCATCAGGTAATGCAACATTGACTCTTGTCGTTCACACTAGCCTATTAGCGCAGAAGGAATGACTGAATCCTATCCCAGAATTCGAAATCATTGTGGTTGATACCATGTTATCAAAAAATAGGTGACGTCATCATTGTATCCAGGCCTTCCGAGAGTAAAAGCAAGATGGCGTACTTTAGAGCGTAGTTTCTCGTGTTCAATTAGCGAATACTCTAGAAACTCACTGTGTTTCTAAAATGGATATAATTCTATGATTTAAAAAAATTTCTACAGTAAATCTGCCACCACTGCAGTTTCTCTGCCAAGTATTGTATACCAGATGAGACGTTGTATATATATATAGCTTGGACACCATCTTGAAACTTGGATCTTGCGTTAGATTCTGGGATAAACTTCATTCATTTGTACTTCCCAGCTTTTATTAGCCTTTTCGAGGTTAAGGAAAAACCAGGTCCAGAGGTCCAGCTGTTTTGAGGATATATATTTCCAAGATAGCGTCTATTTCGTCGAATAAATCCTGCACTACACACTGCTGCTAATAGCTAAATCTGCAAAATCTACGATTTTATTTTCATGGGAATGATCACCGTCTTGATCTTACCTGTCTAAGACTTTTTCCATTGGATTCGATTTTTCAATCATAAGAAAAGCTTTTGATTCGGTTAGCAGTAACGCGTTTAAATGAAACTTAGGAACACTGGCTACAAATAAAAACATATATAAAAATATATTACCATTTTTGGGAAGCACTATATGCTTATTAGGGGGCGGGCGGAGGGTGGAAAGAAGGAGAGAGAATTGCCTCCTCCTATTTTTCTAAATTACACTTCCTTACACAATTGAAACAAGTTAACGCACCCAATTGGCAATCGACTCCAGCATCGTCGTCATGGTTACACGTTGTTTGTCCCCATCCTGGATGACGACAGTCAACAATTGAGTTCTCTGTTCCATTACACTCTAGGTTACTCAACCAGATAGTACCATTTCCAGGTCTGAAGGTGGACTTTGAATACACTTTACTTGCCCCGGGGTAGCCGATCATACGACAAATCACTATAGTATCGTTGATGTCCAGTCCCCTGTTACATATTGTACCCCATACGTTACCATAGCGAACAGCAACACGGCCAGAGTTGGGTGAATTTCCGTCTTCCAAACGAATGTCTATTGGTGAAGAACCTGAGGGCAAAAATGTAGATTATTAAGAATATATATTGGTTAGTGCGCAGCTTTCGAAGCTAGAGGTCAATGACGGTTCACTCCTAAGGATTTCTACGTCTCTTGCGACTTCTCTCTAATCTTTATAGTTTTGTTTTTRCACTGATGAAGAGAAGGGGTAAAGTGCGCACCTGCAGTTCCCTGGAAGACCAGCTACTAGCTGAAGGAACAATGATGTTAAACAATATATTTACATTTCATTCTGTGTAATGTCATTACTTCCAATTGTTTGCATACTACTTTGCATACAAAATTATTAAACATACCATTTAGATGTTGACATAATACAGCAGATCTAAATCTGGGATTGCATTCATTGTTAGTCCATCCACGGTGATAACATTCACTGATTGTTGCTTCCATTCCGTTACACTCCACGCCACCCAACACGCTTCCTTTTATGTGACCATCTTTGTACCGTTTGATTCCTGCCAAAGCTGCCTGGTAACCAAGCATTCTACAGACCACGTGGGCGTCTAAGATATCCCAGGTATCATCACAGACTGACATCCAGGTCCATTKGTATTTGACTTCTACAGTTCCGAAGAAGGGGAGAGGACCAGTCAGACGAGCTTCCACAAATTGTTCCTCTGAAATTATAGAAAACCGTGCGAAAAGAGAAAAACAATATGCAGCTGCATAAACAATATCTTTTTTTCTGAAACTTTGTTGTACAATTACTTTTAGTTTGGGTTATCAAGGCAAGACTTGCAAAATTGCGAGTGAGAGAAAGAGCGCGATCCTGATTAAGCTATGTTTCCAATCCGGCCAACTCATGAAAGTCCCCTTTGCCTTCAAGGAATTTTGTACTCCTTCGTAACCTTCGACACCATATGCTTCCAAAACCACATTTTTTWAAAGTAAACTGTACTGTTTGTAAGGAATTGCCAAATAATAGTCTTCATTCTTCTTTTCAGATTCGATAGACTTCTTTAGCTTGGGGGCTATGTTTTTTTWTATATTTCAGACGGCACGTGTCATTCCCTAGAGAAGTAATTATCTGCTTAATGGTTGTGCATGAAGATAAAAATATGATTATAAGTGAAACAAAGAATCTTGTTCTCAAGAGAATGAAAAGTGGTCTGGCATGGCAAAACATTACGCAAAAATGAATGGATAAATCAAGCAATGAATGAATCAAAAAGAAGCAATAGCAGTAGTGTATAGCAATGTCCGAGTGGACCAATACCACTTATTTATGGATTAAGTGCAATCACTCTAACTTAGAACTATCAACAAAACCAACATTTTCCTACCTTTAGGGAGGTTTTCACATACTAGGCCCGCATCTTCGTTATGGTTACAAGACTCGCGACCCAAACCGTTATGTGCACAATGCGCGATACTGGATTCGTTTCCACTGCATCGCACGTTATCTAACAATATAGGTCCACTACTACCACGGCTTCCTTTGTATTTAGCATCTCCGGCCCAGGATGCTTTACTGTAATTTAACATGTGACACACCACATAAGCATCTGCTAGACCCCAACTATGGTGACAAATTGCGCCCCAGACTCCATAATATCGAACTTCTACTCGGCCTTGATTAGGAGTGTACCCAGGTACCAATCGAACAGCTACGTTAGGGTTTTTATCTATGTTAAAGCAGAGTATTCAGTACAGTTTATATAGATTATTATACGTTACTTGATGTGCAATGTAACTAGATATTATTGATTYTTTTATGTACAGTGTGAGTCTTGAGTATTTTGGCGAGACGCTGACCGCCTTGAATTCGTTAACATGATTGTAGAGCGTGCTTGCTTGATCCAATTCTCGTACACACTCATAATTGCACCATTGAAAGCCCGTTTTTTTGCATTCGGATAGCGCACTTGTCTTTTTGAATTGTTGCATATAATACTCCCATACATCAAGTGTGGCTTAGGCTAGGTATCTGCTAGCAACGCACAATTACTGTAGTAGTAGTTGAATCTGTGAACAATTCCCCACAAGAGAAATATTTTGAGGTTAAGTAAGATGGTCAGTTTACCGTCATTTCCAAGACATATTACACCTGCATCGAAGCTATGATCACAAGTTCCCCATCCATTCCATCCAGCATGGTAACACATGTCTATTGATTTCTCTTTACCGGTACATCCCACATCGTGTAGCCATACTTTACCACTTCCTCCTCCAAACCTCCTGATAGCAGCCAATGCTCGGGTGTAGTTCAGCATACGACACACAACATGAGCATCATTGATATCCCAGTTACCGAGACAAATTGTTCCCCATATGTTGTTAAACTTAACCTCTACCCGACCAACATATGGGGAGGGCCCTCCTGCTAAACGAACTTGCACGACACCTGAAATTTCGAGGAAAATACATTAAATATCTCAGGATGCACTTGTCCTCTAAACGCGAAAAGGTAGATTTACAAGTGGAATCGTACAGTTCTAAAAATGTGTCAAAAGAATAAATTCTATTGCACGGCCATTTGAAACAAGATTTGGGCTGAGCAAAGTCAGGAATTTAGCGTGTTAGGTTTTGCTGAGTGAGGAACACCAGAAAAATCAAATAAAACCCTAGAAGCAAGAAGAGATAGCGCTACCCTTGACTCTCCAGTCGTATTTTAATATTTTATCCCATAGAAACGTTCTGCGTATGATAAGGGAAAAAAATGAAGAAAGACTTCTATATATTGCCAAAAAATTGAAACCTAAACTCTATTTTCCTATGTTTTGATTGGCTATGTTTCCTATGGTATAAGAATAAAATGAAATAATATTTATAAAAATGACAAAAGTGCTTGAATTTATCAGCCATTTCGAGGTTAAGTAAAGGACTGGGTCGAGTTGGTAATACTTTGCATTGTGTGGCTGATTTATAGGAGACAAAATAGACGCCATCTTTGAAATATGTCTCCTAAATTAGTATCTTTTGCAATTCACTGCAGTACAAACTCGACATAGTTTTTTCCGCAACCTATACTTTTTAAGAACTTATCCTCTTCCTTTTTCGGTATTTGTGGCTTTGAAATAAATTGCACAACTTTTCCTTTTCTTCTTTTATGACTGATTTGCGGTAGGGCTAAATATCTTCAAGAATATTTCTAGCAAAAAGAGAGGCGTTATTCTTCATTCGTGGTAGTAAACTCGAGTGATTTCAAAATATGATAATTTCATTAAGAATCAACTGAACAAGAAAATGTATCTTTAATATTGAAAACCAACCTGGATATTGATGACAAACTACTGCAGCATCATTACTATGACTACATGATCTTGTCTGCCCCAATCCACTATGAGTACAGTTAAGGATATCTTTCTCGTCTCCCTTACATCCAAGTCTCGTAAGCCATACTGGACCTGTCCCTCCACCCACTGTGTAGACTCTCATGGCTCCCTTGTAGTTCAGCATACGACAAACTACATTAGCATCACGTATGTCCCAATAAGAATTGCAGACTGTGCCCCACACTCCGTACTGCTGGATTTCGACGCGTCCTTCCATACTTGATGACCCACCTTGGAGACGTATGGTCGTTGTCGAGGATCCTACTCAATGATAAGCAACATAATATCTTGTCTGTTTATGGGCAACATAAATGACATACTCGTATTATCAATATAAAACAAAAACTGGGAGAACAAAGGGCAAGTAACAAGAGAAAAGTGCATCCATGGCCAAATTCAAAGCTAAAAAAGTAATTCGTGGATATTTTTAGCACCGTGTTGTCAATTTTGATTATTTGCTTTACAGTTAATACTTATTAATACTTTCATACACACACAGTTTAATGCCGAGCAATTTAAAAGGGGGCTTATTACATACCACTTGGCTTGCAGACGATCCAGGCATCCGTTTTACTTGCGCACAAGCTGATGCCAGCAAAGTAGTATCCGCAGGCCCGCATTGATCTTTCACTGCCACTACAGTGCATTACTGGTGTGAATCTAACCATTCCACTCTCTTTCTTATAGACCGCTAGCGCTTGACTGTATCCTGCTGTTCGACAAACTACATGTGCGTCTCGTAAGTCACAGTTTTCTGTGCAAATACTGCCCACTGTGCTGTAGTAACTCACTTGTAGTCGCCCAACATGAACATTTGGCCTATTTCTTTCAGAAAGACTAAAACGGACATTTGAAGACCCTATCAATGGTATATGCAACAAAGAAATATGTTTTAATAACTGACAATTACAAACTTCGCTAAAACCCTAAATGGCTTTTTAAAGTAATAAAAGTATTATCAAGTTGCTGCACTAAGAACTACCCGACTTGGACTACTCCATGGTTCAAGATCATTTCTTACATCAATTGTTTTGAAAATGACCAGAATGTATAGATCGAGATCGCCATTGGTATACACGAAGAGTCAAGGCAGCCATTGAGATCCGACTCCACCTTTATTACATCAATGGGACAGTTGTATAGAAATCCCTGAAGCGTGGATACTGACAATGAGAAAACACCCTGAGCCGAGTCGCAACAATCAAACAGCAAATTTCAGCACTAACGAACCAGCCAATCACAGCAACAATGATCCGATGAGCGGTATATTACAGACACAGTGTACATTATAGCCTGAACACTAGCAGTTTGCAGTGGAGACGTAGCGGTTCCTTTTACAAATGACTCTCAATCGTGAGACAATTGAATAAGTACTGTTTATTAATGTCTTTCTTATTGTTCATTAGCATGTAATGAACTTACTCCTATTCATATTCTCCAATGATATAATATATAATAATATATAAAAATACAAATATATAATATATAATTAGCAGCGTGCTTAAATTCATGCGAAAACCTTGTCACCTTTGGATGTTGGCTGATATACTCAAATAAACCAAGCTAGCCCAAATATTTTTGCAATAATAATAATAAATATGTTCTTATATAGCGCATTATAGATTCTCAATGCGCTTTACAAAATGTCAGCCAAGATGGCTGCTACAGAGATCTCTTCCACCCCAAGAGTATTGACAGTGTAAAAGATGCACTGATGATTTTTGAGTAAAGAATCAGCCCAATAAAACAGAAACCTAAATCCCATCATCCTTTTTACCTGAGATACAAAATACACCAGCTCTCCGGTTGTTTGGACAACTGCCAGCTCCTTGTCCCCACTTTGGACTGTTGCAGTTTTCGATAGAAGACTCRCGCCCACTGCATCTGACATCAGAAAGCCAAACTAAACCAGAACTTTGATATCCTCGGATACCAAAGGCTGCACCTCGGCTGTAGCCCAACATCCTGCATACGACATTAGCATCTTGTCTATCCCAGTTGGTGTCACAGATGGATCTCCATATACCGTAATAACGTACTTCGAATTCAACACGACCAAAGTGAGATTCGCTACCTTTAACCAATCGAACGCTCACATCAGGGGAACCTGGACATTGGTAATATTAATCTTTCATCAGTATAATATGTTATGCATGCGCATTAGTAGATTGAGTAGTAGTTCGTGGTTTCTCGTGTTTCTAAAGTGGCTGCAGCTTTGACTTTACCAAAAGTGTCAACAGGCTAAAGAAAACTGTAAACTTCGATCATTCTGTGTATGAGAATATATATGAACTATATTTTTGTACTGAAGTTGTAATGTATCAAATTGAGCTGATCCCCGCATCATTCTATTAAAAAGCGCACACAGTGATCAGCAACATATATCTTTTAGATATTTTATTTTAAAATGTCCCTAGAGATGACAAAAGAATAAATAACACACTTGACAACAAACGAAAGTAAGAAACTGAAGGTGGGTTTTTCTTGTCGGCGTATCCTTGAAACAGTCGATTTTATCATGCAAACTTCAGACGATCTATGAAACACCGACTTACCAGATTGACAGACGATGCCAACATCTTTAGTGTGATCACAATCATGGACACCCCAATCTGCGTGACTACAGTTATCCAACGAGTCCTCAGACCCAGTACATCCAACATTTACCAGCCAGATCTGGCCGCTTCCTTCTCCCATGGACATGAACTTCACACCACTCGAGTAGCCAAGCTGTTTGCAAGCAACATTAGTGTCTGCAATTTCCCAACCGTCAGAACATATTGTTCCCCATTTGCCATTATGTAAGATTTGTAGAATACCGGAAGGAGATGATCTAGTGCTGCCACCGATGAGCCTTAAATTAGATGCTGATCCTATAACCAACACAAAATATCAGGTCGCTTTCAAATGTTATTTACCCCTTATTTTGAATTTTTTTTTTGCTAAATCTGTTAACGAAAGCACTTAGAAAAGAAGGAATACAAACATTAGATATATCATGCATATAACCAGACTTGAATTATTCGTAATATTTATAAATAACGAGGTATTTGTTGTATATCAGATGCCAAATAAACTAATTACTTTCTTATTACTAGACCATACTAAAAAAATCCAAAACCACATGTGTGGTCCAACACAAACAACGAGGTCTCGTGTTATGATATTCGTACTATTGCTCTTCACTTTCTCCTCCCGGAATAATACTAGACGACCCGGAATAACACTATTCGATCATTGACCATAATAACGCGAATCCAATTGCTGAATTGAGGGAATTAGTCAAATTACTGAAGCAAATTTCTTTTACGGAAACATTCGCTTTCTAATTACAATTTTACTGTTTTGTTAGCTACAAATATTCAATGTAATTCAAAAGAAAAGTTCGTTTATAAAATTTCTATTCACCGGAAGTTGCCTTTTTGAATTACAACTACGCAGTCAAAAATGGCTTTCTTGGGTTCTTTGAAAAGATTTCGTGCCCGTCATATTTAACTTGCACAAAAAAGAGATTTCTTTCAGCTTTTTACCCTCGATAACGATAGTGCGCTAACAAAAAACCATACTGATGGTACATTTCTTTAGACGACCCAAAATAATTAAAACAGAAACAGTATATCAACATTACTTACCATTTTTGAGTACAGAACCAAAGAACCAGACGAGGAAGACACGAAGTCGTGCTTCCATTTCTGAGTCGTGTTGATGGCTTCTGGTTATTGATATTTCTAGATGAATTTTTGTTTTAAATTTCCAAAATTGCGCGCCGTGTTTTAATGTTTAGATCACACATGAACTAACATATGGTTTAAAATATAATATTTCTACATCTTCTGCACTTCATCTGGTTTCGAATCCTTGCGGTTCAGCGTGGCAAGCGATGTGTGATGTTTGGTGAAGTTAAGTTAATACCATAGAGATTGCGTATGCCCATTTTAGGCACCCCATCCGTACAATTACTGCCCTTTATCTCCTCTGAAGAAACATTTTGAAAACCCAAAGGAAGAACTGAGAATACGTATAAATAGAATGAGATATAAGTAAAGTTATGACAAAACGTTGAGATAATACTCTTATTTTCGAAATACTTAAACGAACCAACGTTTAAGCCAAAAAAAGAGAAAAGGTTTAGACATGTGGTTGCACTAGTTTTTGGCAAAAGGTGTTTGAAAGCTAATAAGGAACGAAACAGAAACAGGTAGCCGTGTCTTTGCATCCAAGCGAGACGAACGGTGAGCTTGCAATGACAGAGACCTTTTTAACACCTTGAACAATGTCTCTATCATTACAAGCTCGCCGTTCATCTCGCTTCTACTCAAAGACATGGCTACCTTTCAAGATTTCGCAAAGAAATGTAAAGGGGACTATGTGACTGCGACTATTCTTGGTTTTCACCTACGTCATCATGAATTTCAAAAGCGTAAATTCGCATCATAATGAAATAAAAGTTTCATAATGTTGTAAAGCGGTCAAAACTACATATTCTGGCCAAATTTCGAGGCTGTAAAGCATTTCGTTGCGGAACTATAGGCGAGTAAATATGACGCAATTTTTGGTTAAAATGTATGGAGCGGCCATCTTGGTGTTCCAAGTTGGTACACCATCAGGGCGGACGAAATTTCAAAGGCTTAAGATGATGGAATTCTTAATATTTTTGACTATATTTCAGTTAAATATACCTTAAATAGATCTTTAAAACGTGTCCAAGGGAAAATCTCTTAACTAGAGTAAATTATTTTACTATTTTTATCGCTATTTAGGTAGACGTGACGGCATCCTTGAACTCGGTACGTGCAATATGTAAGTAAGCGTGTTGCTTCCATCCTACATGCACGCTCAGCACCATTAAGGCATGGCTCTTTTGAGGAAGTGATGGAAAATCAGTTATTYATTCATATCTTTGACAGTTTACTATGAATCTTTCCCAAWTTTGGCTCGTAGTAGTAATTCTTCAAGGCAAGCAATTACCGCATATCTGTTACCATGGAAACCAGGTCACGTGACCACAAGGCCGCCATCTTGGATTTTTAAAATAAATCGTTTGTAATCGTATTGAAACTACTTCAAAAGTCCTGAAMATCCATATTCCTTTTGATATTTGCAATACCTATATGGATCTAATTGGATATCTTGGAAATTATATTAAGTTTAATTTTTAGAATATTTTTAATTTTTTGGAAAAAATAGAAAATATTCTAAAAATTAAACTTAAAATAATTTCCAAGATATCCAATTAGAACCATATAGGCACTGTAAATATGAATAGTAATCTGCATTTTCATGACTTTTAAAGATGTTTCGGTACGTTTACAAACGGCTTGTTTAAAAATCCAAGATGGCGGCCTTGTGGTCACGTGACTTAGTTTCYATGGTAACCAAGGCTCTAAGGTTTCTTCTTTTCACAAAAGACATTAACTTGCCAAGTTTGGGGAAGATTCGTAGAAAACTGGCTATGATATAGCTAATCAGCTTTTCATCTGAGAGCCATGCCTTAATGATGCTGAGCGTCGAGGATTTTTCTCTGGGCTCACCGGTTTTCCTTAGTTCACAAAAATCAACTTGTAAATTCTGATTCCATCAAGAAACGAGGTAGTCTTCTCCGCGACTGTCATTAGTTTTGGTCCCAGATCCTCACGGGTCTTCTCCGCTAACAGCACTACACTTCCTTTCCACAGGGTTGAGCACTTAGAGGTGATCAGGCTTCCATTTTCTGGAAACCCTGAGTTTGACCACTGGCTATAGTAATTAAATCGTTAATAAAGCTACTATTTTATGTTGGAAACCCTGACCCGTTGCCCTTTTATTATTTGAAGCCTGAATATGGAATACATAATATTCGCGGTATTCAGTGATGATTTAAAACTGGGTAGCATTTATTTGAACTTCTTTTTCATCGATTCTTTGATTATCATTTTATGCTAATTAAAGGCTACAAGCGAATCTCATGCTTCATAGTGTTCGAGGAGCTGGCTTGTCCGGAATATACGCGGATCGCCAAAGGCCAGCATTGACGCATCTGCTGTCGCTTTCCCATTGTGAACGGCATGTAGAAAATCTTCACTAATACGTTCACTGTTGGCTGTCATCCCCTGGACTAATGGAGCTAATTTCCAGTTAACCCAACGAGTGGACTGAAGAGGAATGACGGTGGTTGGGTCAAAAAAAGGCCAAACTCCCAAGTTGKAAAATTCAGACTGGCCTGGGAAAAATGGAAGAGAACAAAATCAACAACTTGGGAACAATCGAAAGCGAAACGGGCCGGGTTGTTTAAAGCTGGATTAGCGCAAATCCAGGATTAACTCTATAGGTCTTATTAAGAGTTAACCCAGGAATAACACTAATCGGGCTTTGAACAACTGGAGATGACAGCTATGAGCGTCGGTAATCCGGCTAGGGCGAAGAAACCCTTTCAGAACTGTCAACCCTAAGGAAGGGATAGAATGCCAGAAAATGAAGCAAACAACAAGATTGCACAAAAAAACAAGAGATCGAAATCTTGAGGAGCTTTGAGAGCCAAACAATCTTTGCGAGGAGAGATACCACCGTGGTCTGATTTTGCCGGGTCTTCCAAAATTTTAAGGCGTGCCTTCAATGGCAATGCTGTGAGATCTTCAGACTTCTATACTCAAATAGCGAGACAAAACTGCTAATTCGCAAAAATGCATCACATATATACTCAAAGAGCGACACAAAACTGTTAACTCGCAAAAATGTATCACTTTTATATTCAAAGAGCGAGACAAAACTGTTAACTCGCAAAAAATGCATCACATATATACTCAAATAGCGAGACAAAACTGTTTACTCGCAAAACTGTAAAACATATAGAAAAGACTCAAATAGCGTGACAATACAGAGGAACTCGGAAACATAGGACAGAACATTGAATTATAATGAACGCACAAATTAAACGTATATAAAGGTGTGAAATAGTTCACACTCGCTATGCAAATGAGTAGATGAACCGCACCCTTTGAAATAACACGAGATATTTTAGAAGCCTAACACAATGACGTGAGTAAAAGCACATTGAAAAACAACAAAGCAGTAGAAAATGGGCTAAAATAAGATACGTTTTATTTTGTTTTACTTTAAAATAGAACCAAAATAGTTGCCATAAAAGAAGGTCAAGCGAAAACTCGCTTAAAACTTAGCAAACGCCAAAGATGAACGTGTATAAAGAGGCTGGACTAACGTAAAAGCAAAATGAAAATGACAACAACAAAATACCTCGAGAGCTGGAGGATGAAAAACCACATTTTGTTGGCCTGCTAGTTGAGGCTGTTGGCCTGCTTGGTAAACCATGGTTGGCCTGCTTGAACGGGTAAACCTTGTTGGCCTGCTTGAACGGGTAAACCTTGTTGGTCTGCTTGAACGGGTAAACCTTGTTGGTCTGCTTGAACGGGCAAACCTTGTTGGCCTACTTGAGACTGTTGTTTGATTTGGCGTTGGGACATTTTTGGCCGAAAGTTATGTCGGCCGCGAAGGAGACTAGAAACGAGGGCCACATGTTTGTTTGCCATTGGGTATATCAAGTGTTACCTTCGTAAATCAAAGACGATTTCTTTATTTCGTTATTTCTTTATTTTTATTTGGTTCAGGGCTCTGAAGAATATTGTTTATTGCTACCTGACTTTGAATACCTAAAAGGGATGTTTAATAAATTTCTAACCTGCATGGTTTTAAGAAAGGTCATCAAAAATCGTGATCATAAAATAGAGACGATATAACGTGCGCTCTGATTGGTTATTTAACGCGCATGAGCGTGCATCCTAAAATCGATGGTGCACGCTGACGTAATTGAGTAGCGCGCACGATGTAATTGAGATTTCGTTAAGAAAAGTTTTGAATTGTTCTCGATTAACAATTATTTGTTCACGCTTTAGCTATGTTATAAAAGTATGGGTCATTGATTAGCGTGCTTCCATTTAGTTTTGGGTGCACTTGTACGGTTCTCTTACTCTTCCTTCGTGCTTAGGAGCCTCCCGCGTGCACCCAAAACTGGATGGAAGCACGCAAATCAATGAACATTTTTTCTAATCCTCTGCTGGTTAGCTGAATTCATCCAAAATCCATAGTCGTCTGCTCTGTTTACGGTATCGAGGCTTGACTACAATTTTTCTTTTTACAGAAGTTTGAATTTTACTTGAACTTAAGAAGGGGCGTAGCTCTCTTTACGTCTTCAACGTTTTCATACAACCCCTCTTCCTTTTTGCTGGTCGATGTGTTTCCTCCCTTGAAGAAAAAGAAATTGTCAAAAATCGTTATCAAATCCTTGCTTTCATGCCAACCATATTTTTTTAAGAACTTTCTAAAAAAGTTTTTTTCTCTGTTTCATTTTGCGATCTTTTAGTCTTAGTTATGTCTTTGTCATGTAAATCGGACTATAAACCATCAATTGCTTACTATCAATCACGTGACTTTTTTGGAGTTGACTGGGGGGCAAACAAGCGGTTGACTAGGGGGCAACTAGCGGATGCTGAGTCAAAACATATCAGTCCTAATAAACCAGAAAACAAGAGATCAAAACAATCTCCAGGATTCTACAAGCCATCGAAAAAGAGCTATTACCGGAAGTGACGTCTATTGATAGCAATCTATAAAGAAACTGAAAAACGTATCTGTATATATGCAATTATTAAACCGTAATAATGTGATTCACTTAATGTCTCAGGTCTTGAGGACAATATTAAGTTTCGTTTTCCCGAGATTTTCGGTGTTTTCCGAGGCAAAGCGAATATACATTTAAATTAAGTTAGTGACACGTGGTCATCTATTAACCAGTGAGAGGGTTCGTAATATCGACAAAATGCGAAGATGACCAATAGTGACGATGAACAGCATAAGAATGATGGTCATAATAGGCCCTTTACAGTTAACGGTCACGTGTCTGCACTGGTGAGCAAAATGTTTTATTTCATTTTGAATTGGTGATTCTTTTTAGCTACTTGTAAAGAACTGATCGAATCAAACGATGTGCAACCAGTGTGTTACGAAACGCAGTTTTATTACGATCTCTCGAAACAGACTGTAGAAAGTTTGTTTGCTCACCAGTATATTTCACCCGTCGGAATCAATATGTTCATTCATTTGCTCGCAGTGAATTAATCAGCACGTGATTACTGAGCTACAAAGGGCCTATTATGATAAATAATTATGACGATAATGATATATCATAATTACTAAGCTTTTAAAATCTAAACTATATACATACCACTGATGTTCCGCTCGACATTTGACATTGTTTTGGCTCACTATCAGACACATTGGCGTAATGGCTCTCTTCTATTTGAGGCGGAGACAGGTGAAGAAGAGTCTGGTAAATGCCTTCTGTATTGCCATACATTGGAGAATGAACACTGCTCATCTCAATCGCTAAGAAAATAATCATTATTAATTACTATAATTATTAATATTATTTTCTACATGGTGGATGCCCGGTTTAGTCTTAATGATATTAATATATTTTTTTATTAAGTAGTATCAATTTTAAGAAAAATAATATTAAAATGATAGATATAAAGTACCTTATTTTTGGGTACATGCTAATTTATTGTAACAGCTAAGGGCTGATTTAGACAATTAGTCATCATTCTGAACATTACCTTCATTGCCTTGTGACTTCACTTTGTTATCAACCCTTTCATTCCTTCGTCTCCGGAGCAAATTCGAACATCCAATCAAAAGCACAATACAAATCACTAATGCAACGGAAAGAACTATGACTATACTGCCTGAAGCTTGGAATATCTTGCTGCCACTGACCCCTGTTGGTGGGACACGTTTAAATGTGTCAAAATAAAGAGAATTTTTTATTGATTTATGGAATATAAAACGCGCGCGCATCTTTGGCTGTTGTCAAAAGATTTCAAGAGTGTACTTTTGTGTGGCAAGATACTGTATTAAACGAGAACGTGAAAGTTTTGGCATTTCGTGCTCCATTTGTCAGGACTGTCTTAAAGTAAAATTTACATAATTTTACAAAAGCATGAAGAAGTTTCGACTAATCTGCATACGCCGTTAGAGGATGTGCAGACAATTTTACACTCGTGTCAACACGCTGGTAAAGCTAGAGCACTAGAGAAGCAAGCATATAGGAACAGAGGTATGAGGCTTGCCAACGGTTTCTCTTTATTTTGTGCGAGAGCGTGACTCTATCCAATATAAACACAATAGCTAGCCAATTAGCACGCGTTATACCTCAAATATTATGTAATATGCACTAATAAGGATACTTAATGGACTTGACAAGGCACTTAAACACGTGATTTAAATGGGGGAAATTTTACACCAAGCCATAGCCTGCGTCACATCCGGAATTTTCTTCGTAAATTCGTATTGACGAAGAACATTCCGGATGTGACGCAGGCTAACCAAGCTACTCCTTTCAATAATTTTGGCATTTCATAACGCATGTGCTTACCTTTCCCAATACTTGATTTAGTTTTAAAAGCCACAAACGATGAATCCCCGTACACTTTTCTCTGTAGATTTATACGTTTACTCTATCAATTTTTAATGGTCAATTGTGGACTCATCACAAGTGACCATTACAAACTGACTTGAAATGAAACTATCCCCTAAGCTGATGTATGTCGAGACAAGTGTCTATCTCACAGAATTCAAAATTAACACGAGTTTGTTTGAAGGGAAAGAAAATCAAAGACAGAACACGGTGAAAAGTCATCAGAAAAAAAAAAAACCTCTACGCACGTTCAGGGATCCTAGAGGATAAACGACCATTCTCGACTTTCACATCCCCATAATGCCTTGCGTTTTTGGGGGGTCACCAATCAAAAAACCTTCCCAAATTGAAAATTTTCTTAATTGAATTTATACTATACCTGCTTTTATCTGTACAATACTGATTATCAGTTTATTCCAAGTTATTTTTGCGTGTACAGATCATAAAGAGTTTTGGTCTTACAGAAAATGTATGAACTTACGAAAAAATGTTTAAAATTTACCTTAAACGTCTTCATGCTTCTATCGTTTTCTGTTTTTTACTTCTTCATTTTATCTTTGGATACTTAACAAGGTATTTTCAACATTGCCTGATCAGCCTTCAGCAAAATAAGTGGGTTTTTACCCTCTGGCTACCCCCTAAAGACGCAAAGGATTATGGGGATGTGAAAGTCGAGAATTGATTGAGGTTTTGCACCATCACGTGCAGGCACCCGTATATAGTTTGGGCTGCCTATGGTTAGATGACAGAAGAGCAAGAATCCCTTAGCTCTTGGAAATTTAATTCTTTCTCATGTAAAACGATTGTATTTTTCCTGCCAAGGTTAGATCAGGTGATGGTTCAAAACCTCTATTCCCTAAAAATTTCAATCCTGAAATCATTCGTATCACTCACCCCAGTTGTTGTCCTGGTGACGATTCTCAGGTACACTTTGTATACACACCCTATTTCCAATGGCGCATTGTAATAACCATTATACTCAAGTCCATCACCGACAGTAAAATTAAATGACGATGCATAATATTCAACCTCAGCCGTAACGTAGAAGGCAGAACCATTATTGGTTGCCGTGGTAAAATGTTCTATCATAGCTGGCAACATTTGCTGTGGCTGATCCATGGAACTGAAAATGACATTCTGGTCTACCTTTACCACGACTATCTGATAAGAACTAAAAGGAAAATAAATTGTATTTAAACAAAATAAGAAATTTCAGGGTTAATTTTTTTTACGAACCAAAGACSATAATCTGGATCCTGAAAATTATTTAATGGAATATGATGTCACTGTGTGAAAGACAAAAAAGTAATAAATTAGAATCGCATATCGCCTTGCAATTGATATTACCTGTTTAATGCTTCGTCGATGGCACCCGTTGCTTCAATCATAAGAAAGGCTGTCGATTCTGTTACTGCATTGGAATTATTTATTTGAAATCGAGGAATGCCAGCTGCCAAGGAGATAAGCATCCCGTTAATTAATATATCGGTATTGTTATAAGTAGCGTCATAAGTAAGTCCCTGTTTACGTGGGAGTAGAATTGTCCTCGAACTAATTTCTTCCTTGCAGGAGAATCAACCTACCGGCTATATATTCATATTGTTTTCTGTTTATATACGCATTGGCAGGCTTCTTTATGGTACTACAATATATATTTCCTAACAGTAGGATCTTCCTGTCTCGCAGATAGGAAGATCATAGCACCATGGGTAAAGTTAACGCTTCTTTCTCAGCTGGTAGAGCATCGGTAGTACAATTCCGAAGGTCGTGGGTTCGATTCCCAGCGAGGTCGGAAATTAATTTTTCCGAATTTAATTCCAAGGGCTTTCGCCCGGAATAACCTCGTTCCCAAGCACTACAACTTATCTATATTTCTATAGCTTCTTTCTTCGTGTAAACTAATCGCATCACAACTCTCTTTTCACGTGAACTGAACCATAGTTAATGGTTCAAAACAAAAGTGAATTCGCTTAAAAAATACAAGTTAAAGCTTATGCAAATGAACATGATTTTATATTCTAATTATAAAACTATTCACTTTCACTTGTATTGAGTCTTCCTCGTTTTCCAGTGGGTTTGTTAAAGACTAAAATGACATTTGCCCCTAAGACATCCCACTATAGTATTTCTCTGGAATAAAAAGATGAATATCTTTCCTCCCACTATAGTATTTCCCTGGAATAAAATGATGAATATTTAAAAAAAAGATTTATCAAGATGATATAACACTAAGATAAGCTATATTTTTGTGTAGTGGTGTTTTACTTAAGCTACTCAGTGATTTATTTTACTTTTATAAAAGAAAGTGCGATATACAGAATATGGTGTGTCTTTTACCCTTTTCACAAACGACTTCTGCATCGTCGTCATGACTACATATTGTTTGTCCCCATCCTGGATGACGACAGTCAATAATCGAGTCCTCTGTTCCATTACAATCCAGGTTACTCAACCAGATAGTACCATTTCCAGGTCTGAAATTGGACTTTGGATACACCTTACTTGTCCCGGGGTAGCCGAGCATACGACAAATCACTTTAGCATCGTTGATGTCTAGTTCCCTGTTACATATGGTACCCCATACGTTACCATAGCGAACAGCAACACGGCCAATGTTGGGTAAATTTCCGTCTTCCAGACGAATGTCTATTGGTAAAGAGCCTAAGGTAAAAAAAAAAATACAGATTATAAAGAAAACAAGTGCAATACCGTATAACAAGTGCAATACCGTAGCCTTTTCCACATTACGATATAACTAAATAGCTGCCATTTGGGAAGACTTTCACTAATCTTTAAACAGTTGGATTCTTTTCCATTCTGATTTTTACTGTAGAGAACTCTATGTAGATGGTATAAGTAAAATATAAATCAAAAAGCACAAAGATGCACAAAGTGCAGTTGCAATGGCAGTAACTAAATGAATATTTTGCGAGTACCTACGACTACAAATATGTAATAGGAAATGCTTCCAAAACATTATATAATGGGATCATGACCTGCCAGCTTTATGTTTCATTGCATTGGCTATAAGAACATCGAGTTATTGGCAGCAAAAGTGATTACACGAAAAAATTTGTTGAGCAGAATTGTTTACCCTCTGGATGCTGGCATAAGACAGCAGCAGTGAAATATCCAGTGCAAAGTTTATTGATCCACCCACGGTGATAACATTCACTTATTGATTTTTCTGCGCCATTACATTGGACTTGGCTCAACCACGGTCCTGCTCTTCCTCGCCTGTATCTTTTGACCGCTGCAAGTGCAGCTTGGTAACCAAGCATTCTACAGACCACGTGTGCATCTAGTATATCCCAGGTATTATCACAGACTGGTCTCCAGGTATTTTGGTATCTCACTTCCACTTCACCAGAAAGGTTTTGTACGGTTTTAACGAGACGGACTTCCACGGCTAATTCATCTGGAAGGGAAATGTTAGGCAGAATCGAGGATGTCAAACTTTTCATTTGTGCGCGCTGATCAACAGATCTAGACAACAGTCGTAATAGGAAAATCCGAAATACCGCTGTCAGTCAGAGCAAGTGAGGGTACCAGACAATTTTTTTTATTGACGCAGCCTATTGCGTGATTTCCCTTGTTCAACTGAAAATCAAAAATCATTTCTTGCATACTATTATCTATTCATTTTTCGGCGCGAGCTTTTCGTTTCAACCGATCTTCATCTGTATCGAAATTCGCCGTTGGTCAAAGCATACGAAGTTAAGATTATATACCCCCCAAAATATTTGTAATATATAATATTAGACTGCTAACCAGTCCTTTTTTCTCTCCTAACTTATATCAGTCGTCGTATTTTTCTCTAACTTTTCCTCTTTCTGCGTGCCGCATCAAACGTGTCCCCACTCCCTGTTAAACTGTTAACAGTCTGATAAAATGTCATAACAGCGCAACTAGAGAATTTAGTAATTTAGTAACGTTACACTATTAAGTACCTTTTGTCAAATTCCCACATCTGACGCCAATATCTGCATAATGTCCACAGTCGTGCTGACCCCAACTCCTATGTGAGCAATACTCCAATGACCTCTCGTAACCACGACACTTTACATCATCTAAAAGAATTGGACCATTTCCTCTAACATTTGCAGTTCCATATAACATTGCTTTGGTGTAGTTCAACATGCGACAGACCACATGAGCATTTGCCCAACCAAAGTTGTCTCTACAAACTGTACCCCAGACTCCGTAATATCGAACCTCTACTCGGCCTTGATTTGGAGTACTTCCATCCACCAGACGAACAGCTACATTTGGACCTTGAGCAGAATTTTGATAATCAAGTTAAGAAGTAATTCAAAGTTGTGTGATTTGTAGAATGTAGACCCTTTCAGAAAAATTCAAATTGAAGGACAATAGATGGTTGTATTTTTTAACGTTTTCATCGTATTTGGTTGGATCCTCGTTCAACTGGATGCATATTTTATACGTGGAAGCTTTGGTTATTATTACACAACGAAAACACAGCTTTACATAAATTAAGCCTACTCACCAGTAGATGATCCATTACAATTAACCCCAACGTCAGCGTCATGACCACAACTGTAACTGTTCCAGCCTGAATGACTACATAGTTCTAAAGATTCCTCATTTCCAGCACAATGTACGTTTCTGAGCCAGATTTTGTCACGACCTCCTCCAAAATATCTGATACTAGCAATTGCTCTTTGATAGTTTAACATGCGACAGATAACAGTTGCCTCATGTATACCCCAATAACTACCGCAAATCGTTCCCCAAATATTATTAAACTTGACTTCAACCCGACCAATGTAAGGAGAACCTCCTCCAGCTAAACGAACTTGAATATCTAAAACGGAAATAAAACATCGTTGGTTGAAATATTTGTGCAAGCGTCTTACTGAATCATCGTATATTGATCCCAAATAGATCACCTTACGCAATAAATTATTTTTTTACGGAGAAAAAAATATGTCTTTGTAGAATTAGTTTATGTTGGGTATCTCCAAGTTTCTATGGGTTTTCTCCGGAATGTTCGGTTTCGATCCGTGGGTCGACCACGCTTCCCCTAAATTGATTCAGCCAAGAGAAATCCCTTACAGAAATGATGACTGAGCTAATGCTTGAATATGCCCGGGGTACCGTTAATCCTATACACAAACTTGGATATTGATGACAATATACTCCAGCATCGTTGCCATGACTACATGATCCTGTCTGTCCCAGTCCACTATGAGTACAGTTCAGTAGGTCTTTCTCGTCTCCCTTACATCCAAGTCTCGTAAGCCATACTGGACCTGTCCCTCCACCCGCTGTGTAAACTCTCATGGCGCCCTTGTAGTTCAGCATACGACACACTACATTAGCATCACGTATGTCCCAATGAGAATTGCAGACTGTGCCCCAGACTCCGTACTGCTGGATCTCGACGCGTCCTTCCATACTTGATGACCCACCTTGGAAACGTATTCTTGTTGTCCAAGATCCTAAAAAATGGTGTAGAATTAAATACATATTCTAGCTCTTCTTGTATAAAATGAGATTGTATCTTCTGTGTACATCGGTCCTTGCCGAGGTAAGAGCGTAGTTCAGTAGTGAGGGAGGGGGGATCCAAATGGCAATTTAGCTGCAGAAAATTTAAAAACCGTTGACAGTCATCTGAGGTTTAGACGGAGTGGTTGCTTCAAATTTTTTTCCATACTCCAAAAAGGAATTATAAAAATATTGGTCAAAAGTGCTTTGTGCTAAGGCGAGGGGGAGAGCATARGTCTTTATCTCCAATGCCCAATCATGAAGATACATGTAGCTTCATACAATATTCATACGAAAAAATGCGCATAAAGTCAGTACCTACATACATTTTCCGATCTGGTTGGGTATATAAAGTCAACTCTGGTTAAAGCGGACACCCTCGGGACCGTAACTTGGTGTCCATATTAGCGAGGGTCGTCCGCAATAGCGAGAATTAATTACGTTCATTTCATGGTCAGTATGTTTGCCAGGAATTTTTCTTCTGTCCCTAATAGCGAGGTGTCCGTAATATCGGGGTATCCACAAGGCGGGAGTTGACTGTACTTATTTCGATTAAGTTAGTGCGTATTTTTTTTAGTGTGGTACTTTCGGGAAAATATTTACCAAACCTATCATACATTCCCGGGGGGGAGGGGGGGGGGTACTACCACCCCAATTTGGGTAGGGGTGTGCCACCAGGACCTCAAAACCCTGACCCTATCCCAGACCTAAAATTTTGATTTTACATACCCTACCCCAGACTAAAACTAAGAATTATACACCCTATACCAGAATAAAATGATACCCTATCCCAGACAAAATGTCCGAAAATGATACCCTACCCCAGACCCAAAAGCCGAAAAACCATACCCTATAGGGCGGCACATACCCATATAACAAAWAWAGGGGRGKMCCCCCCCCCCCCCCCCGGGCATACATTAAACCATATAAACTTGCTTGTATAAATGATTATCGGCGTTCTAATACAGGATTTATTGTACTTTCCATACTTGTTGGTTTCCACTTTTAGCTTTCTCGGCGATATTGATGAGAAATTATTATATATGGAAAAAACAGTGCACATTAATTTTTATTTGTGATAAAAGAAAATGCTGCATGTGCGTGAAAATTTCGATGCTATATTTCAACCAAATTTCGGCCATTGTAGCTTTCCTAAGGGTTAAAAGTGTCTGTAATCAACAAAACTGTTGCTATGATATTTTTGTTTTATCCATTATCTAGCCCGGATATAGGCGTAGGCAAAAAGGGAGTATTATTATTATTGAAACATATATGTACCTGTGGGTCTGCAAACAATCCACACCACATTGTTGCTTCGACATGCATTTATTTCATAGAGGCTGAATCCACACTGCTGTATCGATGTCTCTGGACCATTACAGTTCATCACCAATGAAAAAACAGGCATTCTGTCACTCTGTGGCTGTTTGTAAACTGTGATAGCATGGCTGTAACCCATCATTCGGCAAGCTACATGAGCATCCTGTATATCAAAATTATCTGCACAAACAGAACCCTGCGTGCCAAAATAGCGTATCATAAGACGTCCGCTATGGGACACTGCTCCATTGGACAGAGAAAAATGGATATTGGACGATCCTATAATGGAAAATAAGGCATGATAAATCTAATGAGGCCCACTCTTAGGCCCACTCATTGTCCTGAAGTACTACAGTTCAAATAACCCATCCGCTAATCAGCACGACCAGCTTTGTGTGTAGCCACTTGTTTTGCCACCACGTGATATGCAATACAAAGATTCAATTGCCCTATTTCACTATGACGTCACTGCTTGTTTATGTGGGGGGTAGAATCGCCAAATCCAATAGAAAATTCAACAAAATTTGCTCCTAGCGAAACAGTTTAATCTAAAATGGCCTGGTTTTCAGATATAATATGTGTTAATATGTACTAAAAAATATTCTGAGCGTTTGCTTGCTATTCTACTTCTCTTCGTGGATTGATACGGGTTTTAGAAGAGTTTTTGGTAAATTGGTGTTGACCTGACCCCCTCCGACGACCATGATCCTTTGCGTTTAAACAATAGATTGTTTTGATGTGACGTCATAGTGAAATAGGGCAATTACTTTCATATATAACTAAACGCAGAAATATTCTAAGAAAAAACTTAACCTGTGTAATATTATTTCACTAGTGAAAATCTCGTCATGCAACTCTAGACACATTACCAACTTTACCTGATTTGCACAAGACATTTGCTCTTTTGTTATTTCCACAGCTTCCTTGTCCCCAATCTACATTATTACAGTTGGCAATTGATGACTCACGTCCACTGCATCGTACATTTGACAGCCAAACAGAATCAGAACTTTGGTAATTCCTGATAACAGCTGCAGCACCTTGCGTGTAGCCCAACATTTTGCAGACGACGTTAGCATCCATTATGTCCCAATTGGTATCACATATAGATTTCCAGTCACCATAGTAACGTACTTCAACAAGACCACTGTTAGATACACTACCAGAAGTCAAACGAACAGCGACGTCTGGAGAGCCTGCGGCAATGTATAATTCATCAGATTCTACATAAGCGTTCTCTGAATTTAACTCTAATGATATTATGTGTTGTAAAGACATGTTGTATGTAAGGCTGCATGAGTAATGCTGGACCTGCTTTGCACAAGGTCCTCTTAAACCGGTTGATAGTTTTATTGCGACGACCAACATAATAGTACTACACAACAACAACAAATCAGAGCGCTTTTGTAAGAGGGAAACAATGACAATGCAAAAATATAAAGTAGTTTTTTTTTTTCATTCAGTAATGGGAAAAAAGAGAGACATCGCATTCCTTTTGCTCCTTGTTGTATCCTTGGAAAAGGCACTTAAATTTAGTAATAAAATACTGAACTCGACTGCACGTGGTTTTCAACAACTTTATTCCATGTACTGCGCATGTCCGTGCACAGGGAACCCAAATGCTATTTTCTACGAATATAAAACTCCTCGACATGGCTGCCATAAACAGCTCTATAATTATCATTACCTTGCAAACATATGACTCCTACATCTTCACCATGGCCGCAATTGTGACTGCCCCATCCATTAGAGCGGCATTTGTCAATAGAGGTTTCCGAACCTGTACAAGATACGTCATCAAGCCAGATCTCTCCAGAACCTGGTCCAAAACTCTTGATTTTGATTGCTTTTTGGTAGCCCAACATCTTACAAATAACATTAGCATTGTTTATGTTCCAGCCGTCGTCGCAGATGGTACCCCATATGTTGTTGTAACGTACTTCGACTCTACCTTCTTTTGAGTTACTGCCACCAGAGAGGCGCACGATGACGGGATGTATGACTAATTAAAATAACATTAAGATTAAAAGGATGTTTTTGAGAAAATGTATCATCCCATTTACAAGATAGGAAGATCATTTTCCTGTTGGGGTAACTCTATTGCTATTCATTAGTTAATAATTGTTAGTGTGAGGATTTACTGACTGGGTAAACGTTATAGTGATGGTGTTTAATGTCCACTGGGGAAAGCAAACGAAAGGCTCGATCCGGATCTAGCACCCAGCATCAGCCTACTTTCATGTATTGGGTATCAATGTTAAAAAAAAATACATCTAAAATATCTATTTGTATATAGCGAGGTTGTATCTCATGTATTCATGTGCCCAAAGGACGTGAGAGAGTACCCACTAGTGGTTGAAGGGGGTAAAATGGCAATGAAAACAGTCAAATATTGCTTGACAAGCATTTGAGGCTTTGACGGAATGTTCGTTTTTGAACAATCTCTTTTCTACTTCAAAAGATATTTCAAAGATATTGGTCAGAATTTTTTTGTGTCAGGGGTAGGGGGAGGGGGGTGTTACGTTAAAGGTTGATATAATAAAATCCATGCCATTTAATTCATCTCCATTATTTCTGCCATTGACGATCTACTCACTACAATTTATCAGTGACATTTTTATTTTCTTACCTTTTTGCACCCTACCCCTCCCCGAAGAAAAAAGTTTTGCTCATAAATAGTTATTTTCAGTAGATTACCTGATTGACAAATAACACCAACATCTTCAGTATGACCACAGTTATGAACACCCCATCCTGAGTGACTACACTCGTCTAAAGAGCTCTCGTTCCCATTGCACTTCACATCATCCAGCCATATCTGACCTGTTCCATCACCCATATTGAACGACGCCACGCCAATCGAGTAACCGAGCTGTCTACATGCAACGTTTGTCGCATTGCTGTCCCATCCATCATCACAAACAGTCCCCCATTGGCCATTGTGGTAAACGTTAAGAATACCATAAGGGAGAGAGACATTGGCTGTGGCGGGAAAGTTCAGCGTCATATTTGCCGCCGCACCTATCGAAAAAAAACTTTACTTTAAAAAAAAAATTACTTTACTTTAGAATCATGTAACTCAATCTCATTAAGGTTTTATGGCTTTATTTGACGTTTGCGTTCGTATTTGTATTTGCTTCCGCAACGCGTCGTGGTTTCCTACGCTCCTCTCGTGTTCTCTCAACATCCCGCGTGTTTTGATCAGAGCACAAAACACGGAAAACTGTTTTTGATCTGTTAACTAAAAAGAACCATCATTTGAAAGTAAAAATGTCTTTAACTGCTTTTTGAAAGAGTTCACAGATGGTGCTAACTTTATACTCTCTGGACGGAACATTTTAAGATCACGTTTTAATGAGCATAATCATCATTTTATAAAATATATCATGAAAAATATCATGAAAATGATTTGCAATAATTTGTTAAAAATATGGAGATGGGCTTGAAAGAAAGAGGRTTTAGGGCTTAATAGTGTAATTAGAGTAAAAGTCATTTTAAAAAGTCATTTTAAAAAGCGCACTGCAGGTTTCTTACTTAGATAATTCATTTTTCTGTGACTCTCGATCCAATTTCTAAATCCGGGCATCAATTTAAAATTTCACTTTCATAAACCGCGTGCAATACATATATATATAGCCCTGAATAAACAAGTGAGTGGTGGACATGTAGAAAGTAAAAACGCACGACAACTTGGCACAGTGTTTTATTCTGGCACTTGAAACAAGTTTAGAAGGGGTGCCAGTAGATTCCATGTCAGGAGGTGGAGGGAGGGGGTGGGGGATATTTTGTTTTGATGGGAGGGGTGGATCATTGCTTTTGATCCAAGGCATGTTCCGCCTACTGCCGTTCAGAAAATACCCCCTGGGACCGACTTGGATGCACCCCTTCTAAATATAGTCAACAGGGCCCGAAGCTATCTTTGTGCCAAATTTTACGCCTTCTTCGAGACTGTATTGCCAAAACAAATGTGTCTTTAGCCGCGTACCTGATCTCATTATAAACAGAAGAAATCAAGCAAAAGTCAGACAGAAAAAATGATTTCTATTAACTTGGATTTAAATTTAAATTTTCTATTTTTCCACTACTGGGAAATTTACAAGCTACTTCCTCAGTTTCCAAGGACCTATTCTTATTATACTTTATTATTCTTAGGTCTTTAGGTTGGTGCGTGACTTCTATAAAACAAATAATTTACGAATAACAGCTTGATCGAAAGTGAATACAAGCACATGACAACTCACTTTCCATAATGATTGTCGCCCGTTTCCGCTTCACTTTTGCTAACTTTCTGCCTATAAAAATGTGAGTGCGTCTCTAGGAATTACATAAAGAATATGCCTTAAGATGTACCTTATTACTCTGCGCACACAACTCTTAAATACTTCCGTGCATGGTAAAAATCAACTACACATATCTTGACCTGGCAAGAAACCTTTCGATAGTAAAATAAATTAATTCTTATTCACTTTCTAACCGCAAATCCCCTCCGACAAATAAATACCTTAACTTTTCCATTCCCCCCCCCCCCCCAATATTTGAAAAAATGTTTAGATACTATTAAAAACTTGAAAAGAACAGAAATGAAGTTAGTGAATTGTAGTGGAGTGCACGCACTTAAACCCGTGAATAATATTTAGTACTAATTAGTAGTAATTCATACAGAATCCTTCGTTTCCTATTGTTTGATTATCGCTATTTACTCAGTAGAGTGCACGCACTAAATCCGTGAACATTAATTAGTACTAATTAGTACTATTTCATACAGAATCCTTTGTTTTCTATTGTTTATTTATCACCATTTAGTACTAAAAGTTAGTATTTGTTTCACGGGTTTATTGCGAGCACTCTACTCATAATTACTGAGCTTAAGCGAAAATAGTTTTGTTTTTGTTTTTCGAGGGGAGATTGGAACTAGTAGGATGACGGATGTGCATTGTCGACGTCTTAATCTTGGGTGATCAAATACAAAAACCTTCAGTTATATCTAAATTCACAAAGTCAATAGTGATGTAGAGTTGCCAATATCGCTGTTTTTGTTGTTGACATATCTTACTAAACAAAAAATAAATAAATAAAAAATAAAGATGCATAAATAAAAAAAGCGAGCCTTACTTTTGAGTTCTGTGGGTTATTAATATCACTAAACTAAAGCCAAGTTTGCGATCCAAAACGTATTTATAAATTCTACTGTGAAGTGTTTGAAAAGGCCATCACGTGAACAAGGACTTCACTCTTACTATTTTATCTTTATCATACTTTTATATGGTAACAGAAAAGTGTCATCGAATAAAGCCTCTATTAGCATCCAAAGTAACTTAATTGTATAAATTGGAACATCGTCTAGGGCATGCACTTACCAAGTCCTGTCAAAGTTAACGACGACAACAGGAAAAATAAATAAACCATGAAGACTTTGAGATCCATCAGCCTCACCACTTCGTATTACTATATGAGAATGGTACGTACTGTACGGTATGGTGCTAAACTGGAAAAAGATAGGGTTTGATCATGAGTCACATCATGTAAATGTAGAACTGAATCTGATACTGAAGTTCCACCTATTTGAAACCTCAATGGTCTATATTTGAAAACTAAGATTGAATAAGACTTTTTGACAAATATGTCATTCTTTTACCACAGATGTACAAGTGAAAGTTCCCTAGTTTGCAATTGAGGTTCATTTGTTAAGAGAAGTGCCGATTTATAAACTGAGAGGTCGCGCTTAATTTAATGAATAAATAAAACTAAAAAAAGGCATGTATATGAAATATTTTATGAAATCGTCAAACGAGTTCAGTTTATCATATTACCCTATAAACTAGTTATGGGAAAATACAAGCAAATAAACAATCAAAAATCTAGTTGAGCGAAAGAACAACAGGAGAAAAAGCCCATACCAAGTTCCTCCAAAATAAACGTTATATAAATACAACAATTAAATCACTAAAAAGGACAAATACTGACGTATATGAACTAGATTCAAATGTCGCATATCCTAAACCATGAACAGCAGGTAACATTGTATGAGCGGCATTTAGGCCAGTAGGTCTCCGAGATTCTAGATCTGTCAACTTTAAGGGCAGGCAATGTCCAGTTTGAAAAATAAAGTAGAAGAAAAGCTTTGGCTTAAAAAAATTTACCATTTGAGAAAAGACGGTGACGTTTGGTGTTACTTTCAAGCCGTTCARCAATGACGTTTCGATCCATGCATCGTTATTATTACAGAAAGAAGAAAATGTAACGAAAACAGAAAACAGGGGGAAAGCAAGGTACTATTGCTGTTCATAATTACAATTGACAATGTTAAAAATATCCGGTAACATACATACTACGTTCATTGCATACAAAACGTTTTGAAATTAGTTTATTTTTTCATTAAAATATAGTAAAAATAAATAAAAATTAGAATACTTCTTTACCAACAAGCAAAGTGTGTTATATTTTAGACGTTCTTCCAGTTTTACTTTCGAAAACTACTTTTTTCGGCTTTCAGCTTTTTCTTAAAATAGACGATTCTGATCAAAAATAAGAAGATTTCTTTTCTTTACAAATAAATTATAAAAAGGACCTATATTTTCTTAGAAAATCATTGACATTCTTTACAAGTAAATCAGGATCTCTCTGAAAATCACTGCTGTGATTATTGATATTGTATTGTTATGTTGTGTGCGAACACCGATTCTCTGGTTAACCTCTTTTCACTTGACAGTGTCGCAGCGAGCCTCAAACCTAAAAGAACGAAATTTTTCTTTTTAATTTAAACGAAAGAAGACTATGGCAGTGCTGTACGAGATGGAAATTAATGTCTAGTCATAGCAATGCTCGTATAATATTTGAAATATAACGTGCGCGCTGATTGGCTGATAAAATATTTTGAATATATATCGCGCACGCTAATTGGATGGCTACATTGTCTGTATCAGAGTAAAGAGACAAACTCGAGCAAAATTTGTAAAAATATTTTATAAGACGAGCAATATAAAACGGCTGCTTATTTCTCTGTATTGCCTAACACTCTGGGAGCYATATAGCATTTGAAAATCAAGAGAAACACTCGGCAATGCCTCGTATTCATAATGATTCTTCCTTGCTCTACAACTCCCAGCGTGTTTTTAGTTCACAGTCAAGAGACATGGACGCACGCTTTGTATTCCTTAATTTAATATACAAATTTAGGTAGTGCATTCCGAAAGAATATATCTTGATCCATATTTGAATACATACAAATGTATTTGCTAGCACTGTTGTCCTTGGTTTTAAGATTGTCCCAAAGGGGACCCTGTGGTGTATACACGGACTACGGACGTACGGACGGAAGTGACGTAATAAGTATATGAAATCCCTTTGTATCTGGTCTATAAATAAGTTTCCGTATGAGTGGAAACCGCTATGTGTTGAGGAAATTCCTAGCCATATTGTAGTCGTACCGTATCTTACTAGAGACCTTTAGATCCGACGGCGAGTACGAGAACGAGTACAAGTACGAGTTTTGTAACTTTTAAAGAGGGGCACTATCACTTTTTAGTCTTTATAGTGTACGTAGATTGAAGCTTTAGATTGTAAAATTAAATGGAAAATCAACTACGATTCAGTGTTAACCACGTGCACAGGACCAATCGGCTTGACTCGTACTCAATCTCGTACTCGTCGTCTGATCTAAAGGTCGCTTCTGTAACCGTAACTACGCGCTGTGATTGGATGAATTATTGAAAAACAATATGGGAAGCCATTTCATTGTTACGCCATGTTGTACCGTGTATGTATATTATTGTTGTTTCCCAAACGTACCAAAACCGTTATATCCAATGCCATTAATCATCTGTCATTTCATATATAACCTGACTTAGATTGATTTCAGGGGCGGCGGAAGCGGGGGGGGCACTGGCCCCCCCACTAGATTTTTTTGGGGGGCCTGGGCCCCCCAGAATATAATGCCTCACACACAAAAAAAAAACGCATGAGATTTGGTTATGATTACCATTATTTATTATTTTGATATTACATAATTTTCTGTATCTAAAAAATATACGATATATCTAGCGACGACTTGCATCATTTTTGTGTCTCTTAGCACAATTGCAAGTGGTTTAATGCGCGCAAAATGTTACTGATTGAAATATCACACATACACGTTTGTAATCAAGCTAAACAGGGAGGGGGGGGGGTCATTTCAAGGTACCGTGAAATATTGGAGTGCCCCCCAAACATTTTTCAGCTTCCGCCGCCCCTGGATTTCATCATTTCAGGATACCAAGTGCAGTATGTATTCTATATTCTATGTTTTATATATTCTATTAAGTATTTTGTTTGTCTTTATTGACATGTAGTTTGAATTATTTAGTGAATTTACAAATAGCGTTGTTGTTGTCGTTGTTGTTGTTGTTGTTGTCGTCCACCAACAACGCCAGTTACTAAATATACATTTTTGCTTTCTTAAAGTTTATTGTTTATAGAGCTGTGAACTAGCTAGATTTAAGAAAAAGCGATCTACTACCAATGAAACAGTGTTCTTTTAGAAACGTTTGAATCACTCTGCAAATGATGTACGGATGGTTCACAGGGACTAAAGAGCCAACTAATTCCCTCTGCCAAGTCATAGAGATTTTTTCTAATCAAAGGTTTTCATATAACTCCCCGTCGACTGTATCATTTTCTTTATCCTATTAAAAAAGAAAGAAAAATTAATATTAACGACCTTTTTCAGGATTTGCGTTTTTGTTTCCCCCCAATTTACTCTCACGATGGTGATTACCCGATGCGACTTTGATTACTTTTTTAGTGGTTGAAAATAGCACCATACTTTACAGATTCGAATCTTTCCGACTGTCAAAAAATTTCCGTTTTTGAACACTTTGATTTATTTTGATATAATCGTAGCGTTTGAAAAATACTTTGCATAGACGTTTGAAATTTCGCTTTGGTGACCCAAAACAAAAGTTCTGAGTCAAGGTTGCATGGACTTGATAAAATACGGTAAAAGTATGAGCATATAAGTCCAACTTTGGAGGCATTGTTTTTTGATTATTCAAGCTCAAAAGGTCTATTTTCTTTGACAATCAAATTATATGGCGTGGTTATCGATTGCGTTCCATCCGATATAATATACCTTTCCTATCCACATGGTTCTTCCTTTATGTGATATCAATTGATAGGATTCTTACCGTTAAGACAGGCTTTGGCACTTGATAACGCTGCATCCTAAGTCCAGTAACATTTTCATAATCACAACTTTCTTTTTGTTCTGCTGATTCGTATTTTCGATCAAGAGGTTGGTAATAACAATCAAGTTGTCCATTTGGCTCTGCAGGGTTCGTAATCTCTGTCAACTCTACAAGAAAAAGTGTCCAAAATTTTGCAATAATATACTCATTCATTTCTTTATCATGAGTGTCTAGTATTTTATCCTCACGGCATACTCATTACCGAGTCACGGGAATTAAGATATGGAAGGTGACCGCGACTGCTGGCAATGAGCATGCGAATAGMATGCGATGCGTCGTCAACCGCCACCAGGGGAGGTGGGTGGGGTGAATATTCTACTCTCTCTTTAGGCAGCTTCCGACGGAATGATTCAAGGATCTGGGTGTGGTGCTTATATATGCAGGGGTCGCAAAGCATTACACCTGCACTGCGCAAACTCCAATGTCCATATATGGGGGGTTGCTAAATTCCTACGTGACACGCCAATTATGTATGCAGTGAGAATAGTATTCCTATTATTAATTTACAATTGAAAATATAATGACTGAATGATCAATTCAATAGTGTTTGACAAAAAAGACGAATTTTTTTGTCTCGTCCTAGTAGCAGTTTTACAGTCAAACCAACTCATGCGTTCCTATTGAGATTGAAAGATTCAGTTGATTATTCGAAGATTGATTTCCATCTTGCTTGAAACTTGCATTAATTAGATAAAAGTTGTAAATTCCAAACCCGGGTTTATCTTGTTATTCATAGATTCCAAGGTGTAAAGCCAAAATTATTTCTACAATTGTAGCAACCATCTTAAACCGATCTATATCGATGGTACGTAATGTAAGGCCGGGTAAGAAACATATCAGTTTCTAATTCCAAATATTACCGCTGTGGTCCTTGATAACAAACTAATTTACTCATCAGGGCTAGCTTTGAATCAGTATTTAAATACTTCACAAATACAAACGGAAAAGTAAAGAATGCACAACTTCGACAATACAAACACTTTGAAACTCGATGAACCTTGACTGGAACACGTGAATACAGGGGCGGATCCAGGATTTTTTTCAAAGGGGAGGGGGTTATAGCATTGATTGAGGAAGTAGGTCTTATGATAATGATTATTTGCTGCAGGCGAGCATGGTTGTTTCAGGTCCCACACACGGCGTATAGAAAAAAAAGCGAGCGAAATGTGTTCGGCACCCCTGTTTTAATAAAACTCGCGATGCTGTTGGTGTTGTCATGAAAAAGTAATAATATATAATAAATCACGGTGGTTCTCATTGGGGGGGTTGCAACCCCCAAAACCCACCCCTAAATCCGCCACTGGAATGTTCTGCACAAAATCGAGGCTAACCCTATGTAAATGAGTCTGTTAGTAACACAGAGGTAATTTGGAACTCAATAATGATTTATAAACAACAACTATTTCAATAAATCTTCCCTCCCCCCCCCCCCCCCTAACCCAGCTCTATCCTGCTACGTCCTTACCTGCTGCATTGGCAGTCTTGTATTTTTTTCTTGTATTCTTTAGTTTTATTTTACAGTAAGCGATAAGCCCAACAATAACACAAACCAATAGAATTAAGATCACTGAAAATCCTAATACAGCGTTGTTGTAAGTATTTTTCTTAGTCTCCTGGTCTGTCACACCTGGAATATCAAACAAATAAATTCCTAATGTTATATTCAATAATTAAGTTTTAGTTTGATTACTTTCTATCTGAAGGTTTTATAAACAACGATTTCTCTGTGATTTGCATGTGTTCTTTCCTAAGTTTAGACGAATCTCTGCTGGTGGTCATTTTTTAGGATCTTGACTATTTGAATGTTCTTGTCAGTATTCTTGGGGTGCATGTACATTACGTCATAGCCGCCATGTTGGTTGACGATAACAAAGCATTCCTCAATAGCATTTCGTGTTAGTTCAACCAACATGTCGGCTGTTTCATTGTCATTTATATCTGGTGGGGAGTTTGAGTCAGGTGGCCGATACACCCCAAGAATTGAATTCCAATGTTTGAGCCTTATGCATATGTTGAGTGCAAATGTTTTCATTGAGTATTGTTCTTATCGTTTTTATTTCTAAAAATGTCCTTTTGTACTTCTTATTTAGTAGGTACCTTTCACAGAAGCCATCGAATTGCTTTTAGTTGTGAATGCTACGAAGTTTGAGTGGCCGTTAACTCTTTCTTGTTCCTGAAACCCAAAAGAAAACTGTTAAATCAATTATTTTCACGCCATAAAGAACCTGAACAATCAACATGGGAATGCTAACCATTTTCCGCTAAAAAAAGGGAAAAAAATATCTAAATACAAGCAACACCACTCACCCCTTCCATTGCCATGGTAACGATCCTTATATGTACTCTATACATTGAACCGGGTTCTAATGGTGCGTTGTAGTAACCATGGTAATACTGACCGTCACCAATCGTGAGGTTCGTGATAGGACTTAGGATCTCTGCTGTGATGTAACTATCATTACCCATATGTGTTGCCATAGTAACGTTGACTTCACTGTAGACAAAGGGTGGTGGTTGTTCATAGGATTTCAAACGTTGTTCAATATTTCTTTTTTCCACTGCCACTTGATACAAACTGAAAAAGTTTTGGCACATATATATAGAAAGAGCATTCATTGATTGGTGGGTTGGTGGGTTGGTGAGTTGATGGGTTGGTGAGTTGGTGGGTTGGTGGGTTGGTGGGTT